TTTTTTTTTTTTTTTTTTTTTTTTTTTTTTTTTTTTTTTTTTTTTTTTTTTTTTTTTTTTTTTTTTTTTTTTTTTTTGCGGAAATAATTAGCTTTGAGAGTGGTTCCACATAGAGCACACAATGCGCGCCAACACACTGAGTACCTAATAGGTACAAATCGGTACTTGCCTTATTTATGTGATTATTATTCTTGATTTTTGAAATGCGGAATTTCAGATTGAAGACTCAGGAGAAAGTCGAAATTCAAGGGACATAGGTGTTACTAGGTCGTTTTGCTATGGAGGTATTCCATAGTAGATATCTTCGGGAGGTGCAGGGTATTCCATACCCCCAGACCTTTCCGTACGGATTACCCCCAGACACCCCCCCCCCCCCNGGTATGAAATACCCCCCAGTACAGGGGGGTCCGTAGGGCCTTTCTCGAAAATCATGTGAAAATTTTAATCTACTTGGACGCATTTTAAGGCCTTCGTGACGTAGATTTGCCATCGATTTCTGCAGAAAATTACGTTTTTTCACTTTCAGCCTAAAATACTTTCAAATTGTTGCATTTAATAGATCAGGAAATTTCTTGAAATTTTAACTCTATTTGTACGCACTTTCAGCACTTTCAGGCTTCCATGGCAAAGATTTTCCATTAATTTCTGCAGGAATTTATATGTTTTTTTTCTTTCTTTCAGCACAAAAATAAAATTCCCTCAAATTAATGCATTCAATAGATCCGGAAAATTTTTTAAATTCACCTGTCTATTTGGACGCATCCTCAAGGCATCCATGATGAAAATTTTAGTATATACCAACAAAATGAACCCGGTGTTTTCATTTAAAATCCAACATAAAGAGATAATCATGCTCGACAAAGGACGAAGGTATTTTCCGCAGTTCGCCTTCAATATCCTGATAGGCAATAATGGTTACTCGTAACAGCTGGGTGGTAACACGTAAACATTGCACGGTCTGGCAATGCCGGACGACCAGTGATATTTTGATAACCTCTAAATTTTGTTTGAATTGATCATGCAAGACTTTTACTGATTACATGTAACGTTCATAGCTGTTTTATCGAGTCCTTTTATCATAATTTCTCTCTCTTTGAATTAAAAAATAAAGCAGAAAAGGTGAAGTCGAGTTTAAGTTAGTGTTCGGTCATATATAACATCGTAAGACTACCGTGCAAAACGATCTAAAACCGTTCTAATTAAACGTGCACTCAGCCTTACATATTGCATACTCGTGGTTTTTACAATTTGGTTGAAGTTTAGATAGTCCTTTCCCGATTAGAACCCAATTTTCGTTTTTTTCTCCCCCTTGATACTGTAAATCTATGTTATTCTCAGTTTAAAAACTCATTTTCAGTCATGAGTTCATATTGAGCAGTTATTTTCCCCCTGAAGTTATCATTATCTGTCCTTGAAATGCTGTTCCGATTCCTGAAAAACACATTCATTTACCAATTCTTCTATCGGAGACTAGACCGCATTATTTTCAGCAGATATCGGAATCTCAAGAGAAGGACTGTTGAAACCACCATCAATGGAGCTACGCAAGTTAAAAACACTGTACTCAATGGCGGAGTCTTGGCTCTAGTGTCCGCTGCCATTGTTTGGGTGTCGATTTTCATGTATATCGCTTTCTACTATGCTTACATGCCCTCGCTTTCGCACACCCGACCCATTCACCTCCGTTTCAAGTAAGTGGTATACCGACTATTAGCTCTCTAATTTTGAACTCTCATAAGTCTCTAGGGAATCAAAGTGGTAAATATCTAGTTCATACCCTTGCCGAATTATAGATGGATTTTGCTCGAATAGAGTTTTTCTAGCTCCTGAGGTTCTGAGAGGGTGAAATAAACCTGCGATCCCAGAGAAATTAAACTTAATTCTTTGAAATGATCTGTAAATAAAAATCTCTCTGGCGGCAAAATGCAAGAAACTAGGACCAACTGGGCAGTCCAGACTAACCCACTGATTGCGGAGTTATAATAACTGACTTCAAGTCACTTTGAAAAGACCACAAATTGCCATGAATCTGAAATGGATGTAAGAAAGGATCATTGTCGGCCTCCTGTGTTCGATTCCCGGCCAGGTGATCTGAGTATGATGGTCTCCGGCAATGGTCATCTGGGGCTGGGGTAATAAGCGTGAGATTAGCCGATAGGCTATTTGAAATTGGTTTAAAAAAAAAAAAATCAACTAAGAGTTTATTTAATTGTCTCCGCTCTTGAATTACTGCTTGAATATCTGCTCACAGAGTCAAAATCATTAAAGTCTTCTTGTAGTTTAAATAATTAGAATTTTCATGAGTACATATAGTCATAATGTAAACGGGAGAGCTGGCGCTACTTTTAAGCATTTTCCAGGTCCTGAATTCTGTGGCTCCTTTGACATGCCGGGTCACTGTTTTGATAAATCAGTTGTTTTCAATCCACAAGAATCCAGTCATCCGATGTTAACAAAGAGGATATGAATTACTACGTATTCTACTTTGCCATTTTGGATCGAAAATGTATAAAAAGATTGACCGAATCTCGGTACACGCCTGGCTCAGAACTCGTTGACCAGAACATGGCCCTAGCTCACTTCATTATGTTACGATTCAATGTACTCTATGGTAATTTTGTAGCCATGGCACTTGAGATCTTGTTGTTCAGTTGTAGATTTGTATACAGAATGAGATAGCCACTGAATCTGTTTTAGAACTGTTTTATAATCTTTAGGAACTGGTCTTAAGTAATTTTGATGCATCTCAGCTTTTGCAGAGAACAATTTCATGAATACCCACCCATAAGATTGTGTTCCTCTTCCATATTTCTAATGGCCATGTATTTGAAAGCTATCACAATCATGTAAAGCATGTTCTTGCATTACCCTATTTTCATTTCTAGATCCTGCGATGAAGCGAAAGGAATATGCAGTTTTCCGAATGCTCATGTGCAGTTGACAAAGAGACAACAAATGTTGATGGTTGGACAGGCCTACAAAATCTACATCAACCTAGAAATGCCTGAATCTCCCGCAAACAAAGAGTTGGGTGAGTCAATGAAAGACATTTGTCGCTGAAGTAAAGGGTAAATTATTAATGAACATCCTCTTTCACAAGTATCCCATGTAATTATCTCTGTCATCTTAAACAGATGAAATTACCTAAATATGATCAATAATAGAAAACAAACTGACTCAAAATAGTACTTGTGTGTTGATGAGATTAGGTCTTGGCAAGTGCTCCTCAGGGCCTTTTGCGCATATGTTAGGGGCACATTGCGATTGGCCTGGGCTGATTTGAAGATGCTCTTGATCATGTTAGCAGATAGGAATCATTTTAATACATGTAGGCCCGGGTGGATTCATTTTGAACTGCTGATGTAATCATGAGCGTTTTCAAATCGGCCTGGGCTGATGTAATCTGTCTAGGCATGTTGCGATCGGCCCAAAATCAGAATGTGCCTGTAACACATGCAAAGCCTGCGGGTCGATTGTTGAATCGTTATCAAATGACCTTGATCAATAAAAAGCATTGCTGAGGTAGGGATTTATCAATTGGGATCACTCGATAAGGATAAACAATCGAGCAGCAGGGACTTATGCCTCCAATAGCTCTCTATCTAAAGTTGCACCTCTATACATACCACCAGTTGCTGCGGACTAGTTTTGAGAGTTAAGAAACAAAACTATATGAAAGAGACCTCAGCATTGCACCAGTACTTTTCCAGGTTAATTGAACTTCATGTTTGAAACTATGGTGTCCTTTAAGAACTCAGGCGCTATCTGTTTGCCTCTAATATTTTCAGGTATGTTCATGGTTTGTGCACTTATGGTAGACAAGAATCAATTCCCAGCCTCCAAATCCTGTCGCTCTGCTATGCTTCATTACCGGAGTCCATTGTTGCACTTTTTATCCACTGTCGTTATGTCGCCATTCCTAATTTTTGGATCCATTGAAGAGAAACAAACACTGAATCTAGAGCTTTATTCTAATTATGAAGAAGATCAGGTACTTATTTTATTTTGGCTCTATCTTTTTTCCTCCTTTTTTTTGAAGACTTTTAAGATTGCATTAGAACTGGGAAAAAGAAAGATGGACTATCATCACATCAGGTAACTTCTCTCAACTGCTTTTCTAGGTCTTCTTCCCCACCGGCTAATAGTTTCAGATCATCTACAAAGAATAAATGATGTACTTACTTCTGTCTCTGGATTCTGGACCTTATATCTTCGTCTGACAATGAGCACTTTAAGCATACAAGATTACGGTGACATGCAGATGATAAATAGAAGAGGCGATAGAGAGTCTCCTTGGTATATTCCCCTTTTGATTGCCATAAGCTCCATTGATATTGATTCCCCATCTATGTTCACTTGAAGTCGGGTAGCCTAAGTTTGCATCGAGCTTGTAAGGGCACTTACCACTTTTTGGTTGACTCCTATCATTCGTAAGGACCTTAGGATCCAAGAATGTGGTACACTGTCAAAGGCTTTTTTTGTAATTGATCCATGCCATCGCTAAGTTTTATTATTATTCATATTACGTCCTGAACGTCCACAGCCTGAGGCCGGCTCCCCCGACTTCTTCCGGCGTTACAACTCAAAGGAGAGTCAAACTTGAGTCCCCTCTCAACCAACTCATTAAAAAAGCTACAAATTAAAAAAAAAAATGTTTCAAAGCTAAAAATTTACAAATCTCAACAATCCTAAAATGAAAACATTGAAATGAATAAAGTGAAACTTTAAAAATCTTTGGTTTAAAATGGTTAAAAGTGGCTTTTTGTTTTTTAAAAAAAAGAAATCGTTTCAAAGCTATAAATTTACGAATCTCAACAATTCCAAAATGGATTCTTTTATTATTATTATTTTCTTCTTTTTTTTTCTGTAGAGTCATCCGGTGACAGATGTTTACGTTGAAATTCAGTCCAGACACATTGAGCTGTACAGCGCCTCTCTCTTCATCATGGCTCACCTCCGTGGTCTTCGCTATGTGATGTTTCATTGGCCAATATTTTCTGCCATCGTGGGTGTTTCTTCCAACCTTTTCTGCATTGTGTTTATTTTTTCTCTGTCTTACTGGCGCTTGTACGGCTATGATGATGATCATGGTGAGTCATTCAAATTTTTACCGTCAATATTTAATAAAGTAGGTTTTAAAATGTTTTAATGCAAGATAATTCTGAGGTCGAAAGTCTTGATCCCAGTATATCAGGAAAATGCTGAGAATTTTATACAATATTTTTTTTGTAGTGTCACAAGTTGAATGGCTCCCTACATGAAACTCTCACTGCAACTGGTACATATCAGAGAAATACAAAACTCATACAGAGCTCACAAGATTTTTTGGAGTTATCAATTCTAAAAAGAGAAGGAGAAAAAACCCTCTATATTGTATTGTTCAGGGAAAGTTCAAAAGAAGTGTATTGAGCTTAATGTAAACATACTGTATACTCTCAGCACGGAACATCTTTTTATGTTGCAGAGGGTAAATCCTATTCACCTACAAACTTGAGCTCTTAAGAAGTTAGGACATATGAGCCACTGAGGAGCATTGGAGTTTAAAATATTTTCTTTTGAAATTTTCAGATGATTTAGATGTAACCAGTAATTTTGTCAGAGTAAAATTCTCTGACAAAATGGGAGGAAAGCTATTCATAGAGTATCCTGAAAATTCGTATTTTAACAGAGGAAATTTGGTAACGCCTGTTGGTTCATACAGCGTTCTTCCTTAGTGCGGCAGTATGAAAAGGGATCTTATCCTCTGGGAGAACATTTTTCTTTAATTTTTGCTTAGATGAAAATCCAAAAATTTTGGCGTAATTTCGATCCTAAACTCTCAAAAATTGAAGGAGATGTCCTAAAATTCCAAGACGAAAATCCTTAGCTTGTAGGAAAACGTGGTTCTAGCATTTGCAAGAAGGAAAAGAAAATCGTCTTCCATAATGTAAGGTCCCTCTCTGCAGATCTGGTCACAAAGCATGTTTAGTTCCAAGTGCATATTTCTTCATACAGTTGAAACTCTTTTTATGTGTCAGTTCTATCACATTTTACCCAAATATCTTTCACTATTTGCATCACAACCCTTTTAGATTTTTTCAGCTTTGGTAGTTATTTCTGCTAATTTCTTTATTTTCCCCCTATTATGTATGCGGTTTGCATTGAATTGGCAATCATGAAAATAAATTGATGATGTAGCGTATCTGATGCTTTTCAAGTAAAAACTACAATGGATAACACTATCACCAGTTTTAGGACACCATTTATTCTAGCTTTTCAGTTTAATTTGTTTACTAATATTTCCCTGTTTTTTTAGGGCATGAGTATTTTTATCACATGCTAAGACGTAGAAAGTCTGATGGGAACATGAGTGATTCAGGTAAGAAAAACTCCATTAGTACATCTTATCTTTGGGCATTGAAGATTTTGAAACTAGGAACTAGTTGGTACATTTTACCACTCCAAGGTAACTCCTTGCTTTTTCACTGCCAGAATTTTAGATAACACCAGACATATGGGGCACATTTTTTTAAGCCTGCGACATATGTTTACCCATATATTTTGGGCTGCTGCTTCCGCAAATGACCTTGGTTTTTTTCTGTAATGCACCAATGTCCAGCAACTCAGAAAATAGGATGTGCATCGGAAAAACCTGTTTCTAAGAAAAATCTCAATTTTACCGGAAAATTGGGGGAAAAACTGAAGTTATTTTCGGATTCAGCACCGAAAATTGCATTAGAACGGGCTACCGAATCCCCAGCGCTTTGTTTCAGGTGTTCAATTTGGAAATTCAAAGCGAGCCAATAATGAAGCCTGATCTTCCATCAAAAAGCAACTGTAAATGGTCAATTCTTCTAAAATTAAGTCTAATTACTAGTTTGCCAAGTTTGCAGAAAAATTGGTTAGAATTTTTCCTTGAAATTACCTAAAATTCCGTTTTTGGAATCTAGATAGGCTTCGTAAAAATTTAGAATTCTTGATGATACACTCTTTTTCCCTCCCATCAGATGATGAAAAGTCTGGCGATGAACGACCTAAATCCAGTAGCGGAGAAAGCAGCAAGTATGTCACCGAGTTTGATGTTTTGGATAAAGACTCACCCTCTGATGTTGGTGGATCTTCAGGAACCTCTTAAACATTGCATCACTATTCCTTTTGATGGTGTCTAAGGTAACAGTGCTTTACTCATAATTTCTTTTCATGTTCCCAAAAGTACAAAGAAACACAAATCCTGAAATTATCCTGAATCAAGCTCTCTACCAAAGACAAACGCTTAATCTTTTTTTCAACAATGTTTGGGTGGAAATTTTCGTGTCGCAGAATCAATTTACCTTCCATTGTCAGCATTGCTCCGTAATGGTTTTCAGGTGTTTAAGTCCGACTGAATTTTTTTATTTTGTTAGATGTGCTGTCTTGTTATTTTTGCTTTTTTTTCTATGCATATTTTTAAAAACTAATTTTAAGGCCGAAAATTCTATTTTAAGTCCTCTTGTTTCAAGTAAGCTTGAAACTCCTCATTTTCTCCTCATCTCATAAATTATTGAAAATCGTGAATCTCGGCACCTAGGTTTTTCTCTATTTTTCTTTTATAATTTTATTATTATTTTAAGCTTTTAGTAATTAGGTTTACACCTTTGAGACATTCCTTTTTGTCTTGCTCTCCATGCTTTTATTTAAAAAATGAATATTTTTAACACAACTCGAAAACCCGTCTCGAGAACCAAATCCCATCAGTTCTCACTCTATTTACAAATAGGCATAGATTGATTAATGGAAAATTGATTACAATTTGTCTTCATACCGTCATAACAGGAGACCAATTTCTTTCTAAATTTTGTAAGATACAGGTAAAACTTTTCTGGATTATTTTGTCCCGCATATATTTTTTACCAATACTCAATCATTAGTTTTACTGCCTTTTCAAATGATGATATTTTCACACTGCAAGGCCTCGCATTCTTTTTGCATGCAGCTTGTCTAAATTTTTTAAGTTATGAATTTTATACTCATGATGAAATAATATTTTAATTCCCATCAAGATCGAATAATGTAAGGCCTACAAATAATTATTTTTTGAACAAATGAGTTTATGTGATCAGGCAAGACACTTCTTGAAGTTTTCAAACCTTTTGAGTGATTGAAGTATTCTTTGGTAAAGGAGCTCTGAATACCCCGGCGTGATGAGTATTGTTAAATAAAGTTCGAAAATGCAAGGCTGTTCGATTCATTCAATGTACTTGAATGAGAAAACGCTTAATTTCAAAACACTAATTTTTATTATTGCGGTATTTTTTATTGGAATTTAAATTTTGAAAATTAGCAGTAAATACAAGACCATCAACCTAGAATGACAGATAGACATATAATTTAGTGCAGAGTGATACTGTAAAAGAACGTTTCATCGGCTTTTCACTGGCTTTCATCATTCTTAGCAGGTATTTTATTGAAAGTTACATTTACTCTCACAGAATTTGAAGGACAACGTTTTATCTTAAGGTGTTTTTCTCGTTGCACATGTTGAGCAAAAAAAACTACTGACTGCTCATAGCAATCCTCCTTAATATCATTGATTACGAGAGTTTCTCTCATTGCTTCTCTACTTTCCATAAAGAATTCTCTAGTCATTTTATCAATGTATCCTAAACACTCCTTTCTCGTACCTTTCAACTTATTTAGATTTTGCCTAACAAAATTATTATTATAACCGGTTTTTAATGTAAGTCGTGAAACAGAATTGCAAGTAAAATTTGTTTCTTTTATATTTCCAAAGATTAATCGTTCCTAATTAACGAAACACTGTATCACCACCAGTAAGTTAATTTTAACCTAGCATTTATTTACTTTTAAGTTTTTTTTACAAAAAAAAAAGGCATTTAATACTTAATTTTTATTAATTTTGATAATTTTAGAGTTACAATTAACTTACGAGAGATTCCAGTGCATTCTGTTCTCACAATTGATGAATTACTGAATCATATTCTTCTGTTGTGCCTTTATCTTTTACAAATCAATTGTATGAATTGTTAATTTGTTATTAAATTGAATTTATTTTCTTAAAGTCTCTTCTATTGGTATCAAGATGGAAAAGTATTCAGCCTTCATTGTTTAAGGTGATTCGATGGACGTCATATTTTGTGTCAAAACAATATGCGATATATCGCATCAATTGGTTTCATTTTTCAGCTACTCATCATTTTTCTTGAATTTTGAGATCATAATTCTGTTGTCAGGAGACTAAAGAATTGACGTACCTACCAATTTTGACAAACAAATTTAACGTAATAAAAATGTGGTTTTTTAGAGGACAAATATCGCATTCGATACTGACATCGATACTGCACTCAAATGCAATATTTTTCCTCTAAAAAACTGCGCCTTTATTACGATGAATTTGTTTGTCAAAATTAGTAAGTGAATTCATCCTGCCAACAGAACTGCAATCTCAAAATTTGAGAAAAATGACGAATGGCTGGAACCAATCAATGCTATATATTACATGTCGCTCTGACACAAAATATAGCGTCCATCGAATCACGTTCATTAAAGTTGTTGGGAAATTTGTGTGCAAATCTGAATGAAGTTGGACTATATTAAAACAAGAAAGAGTTATTTATTGCACTCTCATCTCAAGTCATATTTACAAATGTTTTTGCAGCTGCAATGAACTTAAAATAAAATTCCTCTCATTACTGCTGACCTGTCATCTCTGTTGGCTATTGATTTCAGTTCAGTTGTTTTAATATCAGAAAATCACTGAACTTTATTTATTTACTTAATTATAATTTTTTTTTTATTTTTTTTTATTTTTTATTTTATGAATTTACTGTTATCTTTAAGTGTCAAAAGTATAATCTTTACGCAACTGATATTCTAAGAGAGAGTAGAACATTGTTGGTGAAACACTAAATGTACGGAATTTCAAAATCTCTACTCCTATTATATTTATTCAAAGGAGTTCGAACCAACATCGTGGCTTGAAGGAAGGCTAAAGAGTGCAACTTTTCAAGAATATGATGACACTCTAATCATCATCAAAAGTTAATATTAAAATGAAAAACTTGCATCAGGGCTTTCAGTAATCACTGTAAGAGTAAAATAAATATCACAAAACTAATTGCCATTAAATTTTATTAAATAATATCACCATTTCCTGAAACAGCCACTATGTTTTCTAAAAATAAATAGTAAGAAGTTATAAACGCAGTATCAATTCTTGAATAATAATAATCATAAAGTCATTTTGCATAAAACTCAATAATTAGAACAACAATTTGCTCTTAAAGGTCAGTATGAGATTACTAATTCTATCTGTTCAAGCTTTTTGGTTCTGTTTCACCACCGGTTCCAGCATTTGGCAAACCATTTCGATTTCTCCGTTGCACTGCTCAAGCAATTTGAGGAGCCACCCTCCGTTGTTTGAGAAGCCCATGGACAGCATTTTGTCTAGACTCTCGTTCACTTTTGGATCTGGGAAGAAATAAAATACATTTCAAAATTGAAATAATAATAATAATAAAATAATGTACTGTATCGTATGATTGAAAAAGGAAAAAAATACTACAAGCAAGCATTGATATCATAATGAAAAAATATTAAGAGGACAACACCATACCATAGATTGAAACTTTCACTATTTAGATAATTTATGAATGTGCAATATTAACAACAAGTCAGTAAATTTTGTATATTTCAAGTTTTAGTATCTTTAAAACCAATTCAGTGAGGTGGTTGCATTATAATAAAAGTATGAATCTTGTCCTGCATCAGGTGTGAAAGAACAATTCTGAAATCTGTTCGATACTCGAATCAATGGATGATTTGAAATTCTTCGCACAAACTCAGTCTTTATCTTTATCAGTCTTTAAAATTAAAATCTATAAGAGAGGATCATATTCGGCAAGATTCCGTAGCTTTTTGATTTTTTATAAATCGTCAGGTGAAGAAACTGTCAAGTTTATTGTCTGTAAATTTTAAAACCAATTCAGTTTTACTCACTTTGACTTCTCATTTCGCTTGAAAGACTCGGATACAAGTTCTCGACAGGTGCAGTAACTGGAACAACTCGAGGTTGATTTTCTGCAGATGGAGTTTGATTTGGTGTGCTAGTAGTTTCTGTGACAGATGATGGCCCTGCCTTTGAAGCAGTTTCTGGAGGAATGCCTGAAAAAAAGAAGTTGGATTTTAAAATTTTTGATCTTGAGAAACATTCAACAGCAAGAGCAAAGTAACAGGAAGCAAAACAAAGAGATATACTGTTTCGTAAATAAAGAGGTTGTCTCCACACTGAAGTCGAAATTTCTGAATATTCTACCTATAGTGTGTACTTTTAATAAGATTATCAGTAATGTTTCTCTGTATATCAGTGGTCCCTTTCCAAATTCGAAATGAACAATGTTGTAAACTTTAAACCGGATGAAAGAGATGGCGGTTGTTACACCGCAGCTCAAATTTTTTTGAATCTATTTTCTGAAAGTACGGATTAAACTAAACCTCCAGGAATTTTTCAGATTTTTTCTGCAAAAAGCTTTTTATCTCTGGATAAATGATATTTTAAACCTTTCATGGATTTTTTGGTGTTTTCACCAAATTTAATGCGAGAAAAGTTATAGGTACTACACCCCTGCACTATTAAAAAATTTTACTAAAAATAATAAGAAGTTAAATGTGGAATTCTCAGTCTTTACAATAAAACAGCGCAATGGGTAGTGGAAGTGATATATTCTAGATCTGCAAGAGATTTCATGTTGATGGCTGCATGATTGAAACCTGCTTCTGTTGCCCAACTCTCATTTACTATTCAATCTGGAAAGTAGATACATTATCCTCAGTAAAAAAGTTGCCTGACCAGTTTTGGGTGGGTCCACTTTTTTTCTTGAGCTGTTCTTTTCTGTCTCAGTATTAATTTGTGATTTACTTCTTGGAACGTCTTTAATGACTGTAGATTTTTTTTTCTTTCTACTAAGGATCTCTTCTTGAAGCTTTGTCTATAGGTTCTTGAGGATGGTTGGATTTAATTAAGAACCTTTAGGTATTCTGTTCCACGGTTGCCACAGTCAGGGAATACGAGAAAACCGGGAAATGTCAGGGAATTTTAAAAAGTCAGGGAAAACCTGGAAATTTCAGGGAAAATGACAGAAGTGTCAGGGAAAAATCTTTCAGTAACCTTTATTCGCTTTCTCGAGTGGATTCGACGTTTCGAACAACAAATTTTGCCTGAAAACTATTTCTAACTACTACCGAAAAAAAAATCGACTTAATCGGCATTTCGTCTTAACTATAGTTCGACTTGGCAAGCTTTTACTGTGTGTATTTTCAACAGTCTAGCATTTGTTCAACTGCGAGGGAATTTCACCAAAATGTGTCAGAGAATCAAATTTTCCAAATTCTGTGGCAACCCTGTATTATATTTCATTTTGACTTCGCAGGGTGTATAGCATCAAGATTTTCCTGACTCCACCAGGATTTGAGGTCAATCAGGATTTAATCCCGATTTCATCAGGATTTGAGGAAAAATCGGGGTCGTAAAATCAGGATTTGAGAAAAGTCGGCCGTCGACAAGTTTTTTATCGAGCTATTTTTGTGAAGTTATGTTCGCCTAATTTTTCTCCACAAATAATCAGGATTTGATCAGGATTTGGAAAAATTATGAAATCAAGATTTAGCAGTCAAAAATCAGGATTCCATCTGGATTTTCCGAAATGAAAGAAAACAAAACACCCTGCTTTGGAAAATTGAAAGGCTAATGAATTTAAAAAAAGGGTAGTTGACTCACTTGATGTCAAAACAGTCCAGCCGTCGACCTCCATTGACTGATCCCGTGGGATGCTGGGCGGTGCATCTTGGGTGGGAGCTGGTTGTGGAGCTTCCGTTTGCTTTTTCCCGTCATCTTCTGATCTCTTTTCCTTGTCAGAGGCACCACTGTCTGATGACTGGTCCATCTGATTGCTGGACTCAGACGGAGTCCCTTTAGATTTCTCACAAGTCTTGAAAGATTCAGTCGAGAAAGAGCCGAGCAACTCGTCCCCAAGTCGGAATTCAAGATCGATTATCGGCGGCTCCATGAATTCAGCAGTTTTTTCCTTTGGTTTTTCTCCTGATTTTTCCGAAGTTTGAGCGGGCTGCGGAGGAGGAACTTTGCCTCGGAGATGAGGAGGGTTAATCATAGGGTCCACTGAAAATAGAAAAAGCATGAATTAGTTTTATCAAAGTTACAATTTTGGCCAGAAAGGTATTTGGTTGGGTTCCTCCTGGAAGAAGGCGGCGTGGACGTCCAGTAAAAGGTTGGCGGGGGGGAGTGGAGGGGGAAATCAGACGGTGTAATTTGCCCGATGATTTGTGGGAGGATCGATTCCGATGGCGATTTGGAGTCGCAGAGCGCTCTAGTGCGCTGAGGTAGCGGCTTGATATGCATGTATGTATGTACACTTTTGGTCGGTTGCGTGTGTTTTGCAACAATTCACTTTTAACGAAGTAGGTACTGTCAGTCATAGTTGCTGCGACCTTTTTGAGGATGTTCTTCCAATTTGTAAATATTGAATATCGAGGGTGTCTACGATCAGTAAAAACCGGAAAAATCAGAAAATTCGATGCTATCAGGAAATATCAGGAAAATCGGTCATGGATCAGGAATTTTAGGTGCTTCAAGCGATTTTCAAACTTTTGATTCAACGCACCAAATATGTTGATTTTTACAGTCGAACGAGTGTCAAATTAATGCAGGCAAAAAATCAGGGAATCTCTCCGAAAATATCAGGAAAATATGGGGCAAATCCATAATTAAATTTTCGTAGGCACCCTGGTATCGTACTAGACCCCATCATAACGAGTGAGAATAGCTCCTGAGGTAATTCTAATGTTTCTTAGAAATTTTTGCATATTTACTTAAAAACATGCCTGATTGTCTAGGGTGGAGGGGGGGGGGAGTAGTTAAATGTTGTATTTTTTTTTCTACCGAAAACAAATTTTTGGATAAATGGACCGCGTTGAGTAGAAAGCAACCGAGCCACATCAGCCATTGCCAAATTTAACCGGGTAATTTAATTTTTTACGAGAGAACTTTTGTGCGGATCTCTTCGAAAAGTTTAAGGAATTTGCTTGGCAATAGCTGATGTGGCTTGGTTCCTTCCTGCTTAACGCGGCCCAAATAGATTGATTAAAAAAAAGTATTACCTGAATCAGGCACTTACCTAATTTTTCCACAATCGGTCCAACATTAGTCAAGCAAGAATCCACAATGCCGTTGACGAGTTCGGAGATCGCAGTGCAGTTGGGATAATCCGGATACTGTCTCCCGGGTTGACCTTGTTGCGGGGGCTGTTGGTTCGGTTGTTGGTGTTGCTGATGTTGTTGGGGTTCATGCTGCGGCTCTTGGCCAGGGGTCTCAGGTTGTCCGGAGCCGGTCACTCCCATTTCAGATAGCTGCGCCAAGAAGTTCGAGAACCATGCGTTCGCAGGGCATCCCTCAGGGCCAGTTCGACGCTCGCGATGCGGGTCCTCGTCGAACCGACAGTGGCGGGATCCACGAGCCTCCCGCTTCTCATGCTTCCGGGACATCTTAGCCAAACGGTGAGCGAGTCCCTTCGTGAAGTGGGAACGCTGGAGGAAACAATCATTGATTTAAATTAAAAAAAAATCATTAAAAAATAATAAATCAATAAAAAAAAACGCTACTCATGCCGGCACGTAGTGGATCGAGTCAATACGAGAGGTCGGAAAAGGTTTGGAAACTTTAAACGCTTACAACTCTGTTTATAAAAAACTTTGAGGTTCCATATTGGTTTCCTCGTAAAGTTTTTCTCCAAAAGCACCCCCTTTGAACTTTAAAGGTGACGAATTAAACATCAAAATTTGCAGTTTTAATCATAAATTTTATGTCCAACCTCTTTGATTGACTCGGTCACTATGCGGCACCCGAGTAGTATTTTTCAACGATAATCGCGATATTTTGAAATGAAGGTGCAATTTTTTGACGGTTGTTCGGCGATAAACCGCTGGGATCATCATCTGAGCGATTATCCTCGATCTTGTCGCAATTTTATCCCCTATAAAATTTCCCTGGTAAAAATTGGTGATAAGAGCTGCGTTTCAAAATACCATAGGAATTCTTATAGCCGGCTAAAGAAGGCTACAGAAAAGCATATAGCTGGCTGTAGAATGCGGAGAAAATCATATGGCCGGGCCGTTAAAAAATTATGCTGCCGGGCTACAGTTCCTGTAGCCGGGCTTTACACTTCCTGTAGCCGGGCTTTACACTTCCTGTAGCCGGGCTTTACACTTTTTCGCCATCGATTATAAAAGGCTATAAGAAATTGTGTAGAAATTCGTGTGCTTTGAAAATCATTAAGTTTGATACGGAACCACCTTAATATTACAAAACACACGTTATATTTTCCTTTAATACATATTTTTTTTCATCAACTAAAACGAGAATAATCCATACAGGATGTGCAAACATTTCAAAATCATGAGTAGAATAACGCTGGCTCCGCCAGATTAAATATTAGAATCTAACACAAAGCGGAGCGGCGACGCACTGGCGCCTACAAACCTAACAGGGATACTTCACGCATTGCGCAACGCGTGAAGTATCCCTGTTAGGTTTGTAGGCGCCAATGCGCGTTTCGCGCTGGCTGCCCGCCTGCCGCACCGCAGCGTGCCACGGCGCGGCGCTTGAAGCAACTATTTCACACCAGAGGTATTGCACAGTATCATACGAAACTGAAGGCGCTCCAACATATTAGGAATGGCAGGCATCCTTCAAAAGCACGGAGCTTTCCTCGCAAAATAAATCAAGATACTACGGCCCATAAAGAGAGCAGTGGTCCAAAAACTCACTAACTCTTAGCATCCGTAATTAGTGACGTTTAGCATACACTTTATCGCCTGACTGTGAGTTGCTTATCTCGGCTATAAAAGGCTATAAGAAATTGTGTAGCCGGTTAAAGAAGCTATCGGAAATCTGACAGCCGGCCGTAGGTCTATGGTATTTTGGAACATTTCTACTGCCAATTTTTACTAGGGTTTGTTTGATGAATCGAAATTTTACCTCAATTTATCAAAATTTTTCGTTTGATAAAATCGCGATTTTATTGCTAAATGTGATGAAATTGCAATTTTTCGAAGAACACCCTCACTTTTCAGTTCCTACGACGAAAAAGGCATTAAAAACGTGTGCAGGGTAAGTATGCAAGCTAAACCAGGTCAATTGAGAGCAGGAAAATATTGACAGCATTGTAGGTATTCAGCAGGGAGAGGATAACTATGTACTGTAGGGGGTAACCGAACATTGGTTTTTTACTCACTTTCCTGCTGGAGTTTGGACCCCAAATATTTGCCCCTTTCTTTTTGTTTAACTTTTTAGTACGATCATGGTGCTTATGATGTGGTTTGTAAGCGTTGATGTCCTGCATCTCAAACAGTTGTCTATCGGGTGTAGAGTAGGAATGCCTTTTATGCATGTGTCCCAAAAAACGTCGCTTTTTGGTAGGGTCGTGATGTTTGTGGTATGGTTTCCGAAAATCCATGCCGTGCATCTTATACAGCTCTGTCTCAATAGGGGCGAAGAAATGTGTTTTGTACATGCGTCCCAAAACACTAGGCTTCTTGGCATGGTTGTGGTGCTTTCGATGCAGTTTCTGAAAGCTGATATCTTGCATCTGATGTCGTTCAATTTTTCTCGCGTGGGAGAAAGAGTGTCTCTTATGCATGCGTCCAAAGACATGTTGCTTGGGTCTCAGTTGTTTGTTTACGTTTGACTGCCAAATTTATTAAAAAGTCCATTAGATATGAATGAAAAAATTGGTTTAACTCAGAAGATCGTTTGCTATTACTACTAAACCACAAAACCATTCTTTAGGATAGGTACAGCTATCACTCTCTACATACCAAACAAAGGTGAGATAGGTATAAGTCGCTCATATTTCCTTGATTATGTAGAAAATTCCCAAAACAGGGAGAAAATACCGAAGAAGAAAAAAAAATATTTCAAAACATTTCGCTGTAAAGAATCCCCCCCCCCTAGAATATGAATTGTTTGGTTTCCTCAAATGGATAAAGCATTATATCAAGGAGGACCATCTCAGGACAGTAGAAATTAAATAAAAGAAATGACTCACCAGAGGTAGTGGGTTAGACAGTCTGATCATGAAGTGATCAGAATGTGCGCCCCTCATCTCGCAGTTGGCGCACAGATCAAAATCAGGGCATTGGATGCATTTGTAACGGTAGCCTTGCACTGGCCCAGCGCAGTGATCACACACGACATTGGCATGTTGGGTCCCATTGGCCACATTGGCAGGGCCCCTTGGGAATTGGGTCTCATCCACAGAGTTAGGAAGTATAGAAACGTAGAGTTTTCTTATTTCCTGCCCGGACATCTCAGTCAGAGCAATCAGCAGCTCCTCGTCTGAAGTGATGGCGATGAGATCACCGTCGTCATCTGAAAAAAGAGGAAAATTTATAAATGTTCTTCAAAGGCTATGAAAGATGAACAGCATCGCGACCTCCTGGGAGGAGGACGTCTCCGCACACTTTTGCGAAAATCGTCCAAATGAAATTACTACTCTACAACGCCGCATTCCCTTTCCCCCATAAGGAAAGCTTGTACAAGACTAGAAGGGGCTCTATTAATGAATATTTGGGCTTGGTCGACAAATAGTTCCGAAGTCAAAGACTTTAGGAGTACTATATATCACAAATACTAATGAAAGCCCCCCCCCCCCTATCCCCTCCTGGCCGTTGTGCGGAGTTTGTTGGCTCTACAAGTCTACACTGAAAATGTTTTTCTCGTAAAAAGTCCTTTTTAATTTTTAATTTTCTATGCTTCGTTTTTCAAAAAAAAAAAAAAAAACTCTCTGAATGACGCGACGTTGATCTTCAAACTCAAAAGAAGTCTTTTGAAATCTTCTTCGAGTGAAATTCTCAAACAGTTTTAGTGAGATATTTACCTTTCCAGCTAACTTTAAAGTTGCTCGTGCTATTCCTCAGGGGTGGAAACATGGCACGAATCTTATCCTTCAAGAAAAGATAGTTGGTGACGTTGCATTGGGGTATCCCAAATCGTCTCACTTCCGGATTGGAATCATCCCCCATATCTAGGTAGATCTTGAATGATAGTTGAATTTCGGGATCCATCATTATAACTCTTGTTCAGTGCTTATCTGAAACAGAAAAAGACAAAGCAATTGAAAATACTGCCCAATTAAAAATGTATCAGACGTCTAATGTCATGCTTTTTCCTAACCGTTAGATTGAGGGAGAGAACTGCGCTTCATGGCGCACGTTATCTTTCGCCTTCATTTCGAAGGTAGGCAGAAGTAGCTACCCTCGCGTCGGAATAGTGGCATCCTCAGAGAACGATCTGAACGCTGCGTTCTTACAACGCACAGTGGATCGAGTTAATTAGAGAGGTCGGATAAGAAACTTTTTGACTAAAACCGCAAATTTTGATGTTTATCTCGTCACATCTTGAATTTCAATGTGCGCTCATACGGTAGTTGAAAATTTTACGAGGAAACCAATGAAACCATTTTTAGAATCTCAAAGTTTTGTATAAACGCGGAGCTATAAGCGTTTAAAGTTTCCAAATTTTGTCCGAGCTCTCTCTGCAAATGGGAATTGCGACACATCGAATATGGGAAACCTGAGGAAACGGGAGGAAGAGGGAACCTCGCGAGAAAATTACTGCGCAGTTTCAAACACTGCCAAACTTAAGTGCGGAATAACTTTGTCTATTTCTTCCCCGCACCCGTTCGTCAATTTTCAATGCCGGGGAGACAGCTTTTTGCAAACATTTTCATTGGAAGTAGATGAATAATATATAGGGTGAGAACAAGGAGGGTTCAATAGCTTTGCAGCGTTGCAAATTTTCAGTTGACTATGATTCACCTGGATACAATTAGAAATGCCTTTAAAACTTTTCGTGAATTTTTCTTGCGATATGATGACAATTTCCTGAAATTATCGATGTACGACATACATCCGTTAATGAATAAGGGAAGTAAGTAATAAACCGCAACCGAGAGACGTTTTTCAGTCAACTTGCGAGTAGGTAAAGCCAAGTACGCTCAGTTGCGTGCGCGTGCTAAGTACGTTTTGAAACGTTCAGACGGAGTAGCTTCGAGAAGATGTCTGAAAGTTCTACTGACTTCTTAAAATTGTTCTTAATTTTTTCATTTTTTTTTTAAAAAAATCTTAAGTATTAATATCTATTTTTAAAATTTCAATATTTTTGTGTGTTACTTTTCCCTCTCGATTTTCCTCGGCATACAGAGGAGTACCTTTTTACATTATTCCAAGCTGTATAATAAAGGTTGCTTTTGCGTCGATAGTTGGTGCCCACTGATAACGTCTCACCAAATCCTCAAAAGCATGCTTTTAAAGTTATGAAATAAGTTCACAGAAAGCCGTTTCATAAGCTAATGTTCACACTACACGTGATGAAGGGCTATCGACTGTCTAAAATCAGACGCATTTACAAAGATGCGCAAAACATCGTATTGAAAATAGTCACGTACCTCAATTAGAATGATAACTCAGTTTTGCATGATAATATTTCCTTCTACCGGGACTCGACAATGAAACTAATTACTCACCCAGGAGACATGGAGATAATTTTTAATAATGTCTCCGCTCACCACTTCTCCCGTTCTATCAGTGGCGTGGCGTACTTTATGATGTATCGATTTATCTGCCGATTAAACCTATGGAAAATGATCGATAAACAGAGTGTTTGCAACGAGCACCTTAAAAACCGATTCTTTTACACAGTTCGAATGGGAAAATATCGATAATCGATCGTTCACGCCTCGCCACTGCGTTGCATGTTTGGTGCGCAATCTTCGGGAATATTATATTGAAATGAGAGGACATGTACACCTTTTTTCAAGTTAGTACGTGACACAGCTCTCTAAAAAAGTTAAAATTTAGCTAAGGCACATAACACTCAGAGTGGAAAATTGTTCCTGCTAAGCAGACCCTCCCAGCCAATTTTTTGTATCGCAATGCCGTACCTAACATTACTGCATGAGATTGAGAGCACAAATGAAATAGTCAGGAAGAGGGATTTCATTGCATCGCAACGTAACACAATTTCACCTAACAAGCCATATCCTTTGACAGGCCTCTTCGTTCATTCAGCAGTTTCATGTTTTATGATGAAAATTTCACAATAGTTTCATCAAATCTCAAAGAAAATTCAGACCAAAAAAATTAGAAGAAAATTGTTAACCGCTCTTGAGGAAACAAACAAATTGTTAAGTGAAACTTTGAAGAGTTGCAATGAAATTACCCAAGTCCCTCTGACCCAGAATCATCAGAATCCAGCAATTTGTGTTTTTTCTCGCGGTGCCCGCAAAAGTTTTCCGTGGTTTCCAGAAATTAAAAAAAAAATTAGACGCATAAAAAAGAAAGCATCCAGCAGAAAGGAGCCAACGCAATAATAATGTTGTTAAAATGTTGCTTCCTCATAATATCTAAAAAAAAATCCCCCAAAATAGCAAATCGTTTTTACATCCCACCATAAAATTGTTCATAGCGAATCGTTTTTACATCCCACCATAAAATTGTTCATCTTAAAGAGGAATAATTGTGTAAATATTACTGTGCATATATTCAGTATTTTTAAAAGAATATAAGAAGTTTCACGATTATGAAAACACAGTAATCACGCTGGTTCTTGTTTTCTAAATGCGATCCCATTTTTTCGGCATTTTTTTTTTTTTAAAAACATAAATTTTCCTTGGTTCCCGAAAATTTGAAAAAAATTAAATCACTATAACTTACCAGTTCAAAAGAATATATCTTATTACACACTTGTATATTCACTATTCAACACTTTGTATTTCACGATTTATGTCGAACTGCCGAAAATTTTCACGATGCACACGGTTGGACTCTCAGTTGCGTATTGGACTGACGTTATCAGCGACGGACATGTTTTATACATTAAACACGATCGAGAGAGCGAGCCGCGACTGAAGGCGATCTTGCACATAGTTACGCCATCCGCGCGTGAGAGAAACTCTGTTGCCGAGTCATCATTGTTTATCTTTGAATTTCGTCTTCACATGACGAAATTCAAAAAATAATTTCTTCCCTGCGATCCTTGCCTCCTTCGAACCGCGTGTGTTATACAAAAAAAATAAACTTTTTAATGCCCTTGCAGTTTTTATCTAGAGGAGTGTTTTATAAAATAAAAAAATTGCATTTTTTAAACGTTTTCACACAAATATTTTTAATACTTTTTTGGCTCTCTCAGAGCTGTCTGTGGGATTCCAACTTCACGTTACGAATTTCAAAAAATAATTTTTCTCCTGCGATCCTTGCCTCCTTCGAACCGCGTGTGTTTGGGGAGATACAAGAAAAAATAAACTTTTTAATGCCCTTGCAGTTTTTATCTAGAGGAGTGTTTTATAAAATAAAAAATTTACATTTTTTTAACGTTTTTACAAAAATATTTTTAATATTTTTTATGGCTCTCTCAGAGCTGTCTGTGGGATTCCAACTTCACATAACGAATTTCAAAAAATAATTTTTCTCCTGCGATCCTTGCCCCCTTCGAACCGCGTGTGTTTGGGGAAATACAAGAAAAAATAAACTTTTTAAAGTCCATGCGGTTGTTATCTAGAGGAGTGTTTTATAAAATAAAACATGTGCATTTTTTAAACGTGTTTACACAAATATTTTTAATATTTTTTTGGCTCTCTCAGAGCTGTCTGTGGGACTCCAAGGGTGGGAAGGCTGAGTCTTCAGCCGAAACGTTTCGGTAGTATTTACACGGAAAAAATTAAATTGCTGATTTAACAATTGAATTGGTAAAAGAAGTGACTGCAATTTTTCAATGTAGATTTTACAACCAAAAATTGTTACTTTAACCACCCTCGTGGTTAAATTAGCTTACAATAGTGGTTAAAGTAGCATTTTTTTGGTGTGAAATCTACGTTGAAATATTGCAGTCTTTTTTTAATTTTTTTTTTTAAAAAAATCTTTTTAGCAATTTTATTGTTAAATCAGCATTTAATTTTTTCCGTGTTATGTGAAAATTAGCTTTGTTATCCGCTGTGTAATTTGCTTTTTTTGGTTTACCCCTAAGTTTACCAGCGGCGTGATCATGGAGTAAAAGCCTCATTTTTGCGGTTCGAAGCGGCAAGCCTGGGGGACTCAGGTGGGGAGATACTAGCACCACCACCATGCTCCCCGGTTGTGCCCAGGTAGGAGCAGTGCGAGCGAGATGGAAAATCGGAGAGCGGCGAGCGCGCGGCGAGTCATGAGTCATCGCGGCGACCGCGGCCGCGCGCGCCTGAGTCACCGACGCGACGCGCGCGGGTCGCGTCGCGATGCACAAGATCTCGGCGTCTTTCATCACCTGTTCTCAGCTTTTCCAGAAGGATTATTGACCCTCGATGTTTACACTCGCAACTGGGCCATCGCGTCGGTGTCGCCCCAACTCCGCGATCAATCCGTTCGGGTGACGAACGGAAACGTACGGAGGGAGGCTGAACGAACGAAAAGGAACATATCCAATGGTGAGGCGTGAATAATCGATTAACGATGTATCCCCTGGTAAAAATTGGCAGTAGAATCTGTGTTCCAAAATACCATAGACCTACAGCCGGCTGTAAGATTTGCAATAGCTCCTATAGCCGGTAACACAATTTCATTATAGCCTTTTATAGCCAATGGCGATTAAGCAACAGCCTGGCGATAAAGTGTATGCTAAACGTTACTAATTACGGATGCTAGGACTTCGTGAGTTTTTGGACTACCGCTCTCTTTTGGGGCCGTAGTATCTTGATTTATTTTGCAAGGAAAGCTTTGTACTTTTGAAGGATGCCTGCCATTCCTAATATGTTGGAGCGCCTTCGATTTCGTATGATACTGTGCAATACCTCCGGTGTGAAATAGTTGCTTCAAGCGCCGTGTTACGCTGCGGCGCGGAGCGGCGGCGGGTGGGCCGCTAGCGCGTAACGCGCATTGGCGCCTACAAACCCAACAGGGATACTTCACGCATTGCGCAATGCGTTAGGTTTGTAGGCGCCAGTGCGCCGCCGCTCCGCTTTGTGTTAGGCTCTCATATTTAATCTCGTGGAGTCAGCGTTTTTCAACTCATGACTTTGAAATGTTTGCACCCTCTGTATGGATTATTCTCATTTCAATTGATGAAAAAAAATATGTAGTAAAGGAAAATATAATGTGCGTTTTGTAAATATTAAGGTGATTCCGTGCAAACTTAAGGATTTACAAAGCACACGAATTTCTACACAATTTCTTATAGCCTTTTATAGCCGATGGCGAAAAAGCAACAGCCAGGTGATAAAGTGTAAAGCCCGGCAATAGGAACTATAGCCCGGCTGTATAATTTTTCATCGCCTTGTGTAGCCCGGCCGTATGATTTTTTCCACTTTCTACAGCCAGCTACATGATTTTCTATCGCCTTCTTCAGTCGGCTGTAAGAACTCCTATGGTATTTTGAAACGTAGCTCCAATCGCAAATTTTTACCAGGGTCCCCATTTGAAGCTGTGGTAAAGAATCGAGGAAGAGGATTTTTGGCAACGCTCGAGTCATTTCATACGGTCTTTTTCCTGTACACTTCGGTATCGATATTCAAGCATAGGACAATGATATCGGTAATAACGCCTTGATGCAACTATTCGTGCTCTATGGACGTGCGTGTCGCATACTAAAAATTGAAGGCATTCGATCATTCTAGTCCCGGAGGCAGTGCTCGCAGCCACACGCTATCACGACTTCGTGTGTCGGTGCGATGTAATATCCTGATTTTCGAAAATGATACGAACGCATCTTTTCCTGTGCTCTCTCTTAAGTTTTTATCGGAGAATTTCGTCTTGCCCCTTCATACGTGGAACTCAGCGTCACTCGCTCCTGCGTGCGCTGCTTCATGGACGCCTTCAATTTTGTTTTATGCAACACGCGTGTCTATAGAGTGCGAATAGTTGTATCAAGGCTTGTATTGACATTCATGAGTGTGTTGCTTATGTTGACTGATATTTTAGCATTTAAAGCCTCGCTCGGTGCATGGTCCGGTTCTCTCTCTGAGAAATAGCCGAGGGCGAATTTTGTTGGTCCTTCCACCGTATACATAAATATACTTTTGGACGACCCTCGAATGCACTTAAGTTTAGCGCTTTTGAGTGGCCGCTGGTACGGTTTGGACTCATCGATGGATGTTGCACCTCTATGTGAAAGAACCGAGAAAATTCGGCTCCCTGGATCCGCGCGCCTTTAAAATCTTGGTTTGATGGTTTAATCTTAAAATTTGGCTAGGAAAAATGGACAAGTTGTGTTTCGTGAAAAAACGAGTGAGGAGTAGTTTTGAGCTTGATCAACGGCCAATTTTCCTCTGTCAGAATTTTCAAAATCAAGAAAACGTTCGATTCTGTGACCGCTTAGCAGACTCATTCTGATGAGATTATAAACATTAAATGTGGTGGTTCTGAAATTAAAATACTGGCGCGATTACAGTTGTTGTTGCGATACAATTCGGTGGGAAAAAAGGTTGATTTGAATCAATCCAACGACGCGACGATGTCACATAAAAAGGTTCATCAATATAATTTCGTCTTACAGGTAGTTCCGGATAAAATAAAATACTAGTAAGGTTGGGATCATTAGAATTCGAGTTCATTCGATCTGAAGTTGGCATGCACACACCAAACTGCATGATCTCGGGTTCATTTATCCCGACTTAGAGTGGAATTCAACAAACATTTTTTCTTGTCTTTGGTGACACACTAAAATCGTATAAAGGGGGGGGGGGGGGTTACTGTAAAATAAAAACAGTGCCCGAGACTCCGAATCCAAACTTGCTCGACTTAATGTCGACTTTGAAAGCTTACTAATGAAGGACACGTCGGGGATTCAATCATTGTGCTACATTCACAATTAACCATCATTAGCATACAATAATATTCCCCTTAAAAAGAGGCCAAAACTTGTACGCATGCATGCTGTGGCTGCCAGGTAGGATTACATGCATCAGAGAGCTTTTGACCACTATTTTTCACCCTCAATAAAAGAACCGCAGCTGGAAAATCTGAAATAAATGCTGGGTATCCAAATTGACGATCGTTTGCGGCCTCTCTTGGAGGCTTTTTTCAATGTCGTGTTGGAATGATTTCCTACGGAGGAGAAACCGGAACGAGGGTATTTCTGGAATCTCACCAAATACTGGCGAAGACACAATTTAAAGGGATGAAAATCAGAAGGGCTCAATCGAGAATCGTCTTTAAAATCGGCAACAAAAACACCGGAGAGCGCGAAAAGTTCTCTACTCGAAAAACACAAATTCATCCCGCCAAAAGATTATGCACGTTGTTATGAACTTTGTCGTTGGTAGGTATCGTCCGTTTAAAGTTTGCCTTAAATTTCTCTGCATAGGCAACAAAACATACCGGGGAGCGCGAGTAGTTATGAATTCGAAAAATACACATTTTTATCGCTTTCCATGCTTATACTAAGATTTAAACTTTCTGGTATTAGGCATTGTCCGTTCGAAAGGTGCCTTCAATTTCGCTGTATAGGTAACATAATAATACTAAGAATAGCATATCGACGGTGCAAGTCGGCAATCACATAACTCGTTTGCGGTGTCTGAAAATCTCCGCAACTATGTTATTTTTTTAAAGGAGAACAAATGGACGTGATTCCTTGAAGTTTTTGCAGAATTTTCCTCGCACATAGAAGAAAAATCACGGCAGTTTTAAAGAATTACCGTTGAGTAATTTCCCGTTTAACAAATAAAGTATGACAGGAAGTCTGCGACGTCGCAAACCGAGTTATGTGATTGCCGACTTTCACCGTCGATATGTATATGTACAATATTGAGGTTGAGTTGGTAGTTTTTACTTTTCATGTTGCTCAAAAGTTTCTGCTTCACTGATTACCGCCTTAAAAAAGGCAACTAGCGATAGGCCTGAAATTGATTCGTTTCA